CCCCCCCCCCCTCTCCCCCTCCCTCTCCCCCTCCCTCTCTCCCTCTCTTACTAGAATTTGCAATTATCTGGTGTGGTGAAAAAAAACAGGGATTTTTACCTTGTCATGAACCTCCAACTTTCTTTGTTCTCCGTTTATACTCATTTTATGATTTATTTAGTTAGGAAAATATTTCACAGTGTTAGCATGATGTCAGTGTAAATGTCACTCAATCTATTATAAAGGCGTTTTCAGTCGTAAACTGAAATGGCACCGTGTCGCAGACACACGCACACGCCCACGCAAATTCCTCAAACTCTACGATGAAGCAGACAGTAATGGAATAGACATCTTCCATCACTTCTACTATTTCTATTTGTCATAGTAATCTTCAAAAAAAGCCGCTTCAATCACTCTCTCAATGTGGCGTGCATATATAAGTATGTATATACATAAAGATAGTTTTTAAATCTTTCAAATGAGACAACCAGACACAAAGAAATCTACATTCACTCGTTTTTAATTAAAGTGATTTAACTAAGTGCAGCATGGTGCTTTCAATGATCTTTTTCGCTTCTAATGCTCTTTGTAACCAATTGCCTTTAAAAGCATCAATTTGAGTACCTTTTGAGCATTTCCTGGAAATGATGTGAAATTGCAATCAGCGTGGAGAGACTCTGCTTACTAAGCTCCTTTGCGAAGTCAGGAACTTTCATTGATCCGGTTCGAGTTCCAGTAAGGGTATCGTAGAGGTAACTTCCACTGGGTAAATCAAATATTGCCGAGCCTCTAGATATTAAAATAAGCAATATTTTTCTTATTTAGAAAAAAACTTTGCGCATATATTTTTTCATGATTCCTATTCTCTTGTTTGCAGTTTTTGACTCACAGGACACTCGATCTTATATAGACCTTAATAATGCTAATTAAATAATTTTATTTAATAGAAACAAACAACTTTCAAGCTTGAGTCGTTGGACACATTATTCAAGTTTAAAATTTTCAACAAGACATTCCATTTTTTAACACACACACACACACTTAATTTCATTTGTTCTCATTTATGCGGAAATTGACTTTCTTCAGTGATACTTAAGAACTGGCCTCATTATTTAAAAAGCAAACAATCTAAACCAATTGTAACAAAAACTATCAAATTCATGTTTTACAATAATATCTTAAGAAGAGCTTACAGAGTTTTAGAAAATTTAAATTATTTTGTAATATATCTAATCTATCCTAAGCCTCCAGTAAGCAACGCTATCCGCTTAAAAGATTAAAATTAGTGCAATTAGATTTTTAAATGCGAATTAAAAAATGATTGCATATATATATCGAAAATTAGAACCTGGTCCAGTGAAATAACATAAATATTGGTTTTTTAAATAAATTGGACCACTAAGAATGCATATTTAGGTGCGTCAATTAGGAAGTTATGTTCGTTTATTTATTTGATGGAAATAAGTAAACGATTTAAAGTTTACTACACAGCCGACTAAGCATGTAAAATCTAGTGACCTCTTAATGGTCAACTTTCACCATTACCAAAAAAAAACAAGGAATTACTGACATGATTTTCTTTTACTCGCGAATCGCAAACTTTTTTAATGTCCAATTCAATGCTTGAATTAAGAATAATTTGCATCCAGACACGCTTCAGAATGTTGACTTCTGTTTTCTTAGCTTTGATGACAAGGCGAGTGCATCAATCATACCTGAATGGATTCGCATTGCAGATGGTGATGTTGACAATTGAAGGGATGGTTGTATTTCCCTGGTGGTCTAGAATAGTTGGGACTGGAGTTCGTTGGACTAGAAGGAGAGAACGACGTTTCTGCCATCGATTCGTCCATGCGCAGATCTGGTAGACGCAGGAGATTAGAATCAAAATGACTGCCAGTAGAATTCCAATTCTTCTAAAATTATTCATAATTTTACACTTGTAATTATTATTTGATGACCTCTCTATACTTTTTTCAAATAGGCGTAAATTGGAGGTCTTTTATGCGCATGATTAATTTTAATAGATACACTAATTTGAATTTAATTAATTATTTTGGATAAACCAAAATCGTGCTTTCAATAATTACATATTTTTCAAATTCATAAAATGACTTTTAAATAAATTTTATAGAGACATTAAATGTTTTAAGAGTACTGAATATTAGCCATAGCTGAACAAATTCTGTTATTTTATTTATTAAAGTACTTTAGGTCTTACATTTCACGGGAATGCCCACAATAAAAAAATATTTTATTATGGACTTCACTGACAATTTTGCACTGAAATTTCGCCCTTCATAGGGTAGATATGGATACCTGAGTATTAATCACAAATTAATTTCCAATTTTTCATTAAATTGTAGTCACAAATTTTTGATGTGAGACTAAACTTAAGCCTCCTTCTCAGCTGAGCACTTTCGGTAACTTGCCAATTTATCAAAAAAGACTCTCTCTCATCATCTTCTTTTTTGACCTTTCCATTATTTCTCAACTCACTTAAAGCAGATCTAAAGCAGATCACCTTTGAGAGCTTTTAGGAAAGAGCCGAAAAAGTGTCGATCGGAGTGTGACTTTTCAATTTGCAAACTTCAGCCTTCCTTCTGGTTAATGGCTAAGGCTTTTGTGACATTCACCTCACCCGAATTCGTCTATTGGTCCGCCTTCAAATCAGGCAGGCATAATTTTCTCCCCATTAATAATTTACGTAGGCAAGCGTTTATTCCTTGCACATTATACGTCAATTTCGGCAATTTTATCTCTAATAACCAGTAAAGTTAATGAGCGCACTTGCAATTAATTATTTACAAAAAAATATATAAAATCAAAAAGCCATACTACCTCTACCTTGATAAATAGCCTCTCAATTTTTGCCTTACAATACGCGCACTTTTTAAAAATAATAATAATTTTTTGTCTAGTATTTTATTATCGGAATTCGGTTCTGCGTATTGGAAAAAGAAAGTAATTTAATGTCAAATATCTAAAAATGTATAATAAAATGTGCACAAATATAGCTGACGCTTTAAATTGAAATTTCAATTTAACTTAATATCAAAATAAAGCTATTATAGGCTCATTTTACACTTAACTTCAAATTTCGCAATAAACTTTTAATTTCACTTTCATCATAAAAAGCGCCGAGTTTTATTTCACTCGTCGAGCAATTATGCTGAAATTGGCATCTCACAAAACGATGCTGAACTTATTTATTCAAACAAACACAAAAAGCTCAATGTTGTAAAAAAGGCATCTAGAAGTTGGTGTTAGATATTGCGATGATATTTATGGAAAATAGATTGATAAAGTTAGGTGAGTCTTTGTTACTTACAATAACCACTTCCTCCTACGAAACGCCGTTTTCCTGTTTCGGCTTTGTTCAGGATTAGACTTTATTGGATCCACTCTGAACTGATTAATATGTGTAGGAAGAGCAATGACGTGAGTTGGTGGTTGAGATTTCGCAATAGTCATCATCTCTGGAGGTTGATTGGTAAAAGTTGAGGAAATTTTTCTTGGGGCCTCCCTCAATTCAAGCTCTGCTACTTTGGCCATTCCGACAAAGGGTTTTCGCGAGGCATGTTCCGTTACTTCAGTGAAGCAATACTGACCGTGGTAAGCATTTGTGGAAATACATTCTTCGTTATTGAATATAAGGTCGTGGGTGGGTACTTTGGGCCGGAGGTTCTGCTGGGGGGTGGATGAGGTCAAATCTTTTCGAAGAATTCCAAATTCTACTCCACTTTTCATGATTGTCCTCTATGATTAATGCTAAGTCTTAATTCAACGTGGCAGAGGTGATCTGAATTCTACTCAATCGGCATTTCTTATTGGCTCAATTGTGGCCAATCAGAGGACGAGGAAAACTGAGTGCCACGGTTTTATCTGAGTGCTCACGCGAACAAAAGAAAAAATATATATTACACTAAATGGTTATAGCTTTTACTCTAAGCGGGAAATATTTCTCAAGAATATTATGTAAATACTTATCAATTCTCAATTTTTTGGCAAATTGGCAACAGCGCTTGGAAAAACAGCAAGAATTTTTTTATAATTTTTCTCATCGTTATTTTTCCTTCCACAAATCCAAATTTACATATTTGATCAAATTAACCATGCAATAGAAGTTATTAAATGTGCTAATTTCTGTATTTTGAATTCAAAATAAATGATCTTTTTAGGAGAATGAGTCAACTGCTTAATGGATTTAATTTATAGGTTCAATCATTCAAAAACCATTTGGACTTACGGAAGTTATATATATATATATATTTGTATTGATCTGCATATGGTTGTGTCAGCCATGAAATTTTGATCGATTTGTTTCTATGTCCATTTTCGCGAAGCACTTCAACTGTTCTCCCTTCATATTGTAGAAATACAACCGAGAAATGTCTAATTCAACTAGCAAATACTTCATCCAATCAACTGCATAGAAGAGGAATAAATTAAGCCACAATTAAAGTTTGATTCATTTTTTTGGACGGTAAGAGCGTCAGTCTAGTTTATCAACAGTAAATTAAGACATTCAATAAATTTCAATTTAAGCAAGAGTTATCCGTCTAAAATATCATTGTCATTTCAAATTTTCGTGTTGAAATATTTACCCTTTTCGTCTAGACTTAGGGTTACGGTATTGGAGGGGTTAAAGTGCTCGTCTGCAAACCATAAATGTCATTAGTTCAATGTGAGAAGAATGGTCAACTACATCTGGTAAAGAGGTTGGCAAAATTTCTGGTCCCCATCTAAAGAGATTCAATGTTATCATCCTCAACTCGAAGAAGATTGTTGGAGAACACTTTAATTCCCATTATGTCGAGGCCTAATTTAAAATTTATGTAGTTATTAATCCGATTACTATTCATTTCCAACCTACCTGCCTTTTAGTTGTCTACTGAAAAGGACAATGCCCTATTACTTGCTAGAGTTCAGCCTGAAACCCCTACTGAAACCTAATATTGGGTTGGCAACTAAGTCATTGTCGTTTTTGTTGACGGATTCACTCTATACTTTCTTTTGTTTTGTTAACGTGGCCAGAGCATCTAACCTATATTTTTTTCTTACTGTATGGGCTTCTAGGTTAATTAGTAAAAAATTTTTTGTTTAGTTCTTTAGTTTTGTTTTATCCCAATTTAAAAATGAAAGAACAGGACGTGCACTTTCGATACATTTTATTGTATTACTTCCGAAAAGGCAAGAACGCATCGTAAGCACAAAAGAAGTTATGTGGGGTATATGGAGATGAAGCCTTAAAAGAAAGGCAGTGTCGAAATTGGTTGGAAAGATTTGGTTCCGGTGATTTTTCACTGAAAAATTCACAACGATCTGGCCGCCCAGTCGAAGTGGATGAAACCCATATCAAGGCCATTATCGATTCAAATCGTCACAGCACAACACGAGATATTGCAGAGAAGCTCAATGTGTCGCATACATGCATTAAAAAAATAAATTAAAATCCCTTGGTTATGTGAAGAAACTTGATTTACGGATCCCTCACCAGTTAAAGGAAATTCATTTGACGCAACGGATTAGCATCTGTGATTTGCTACTGAAACGCAATGAGAATGATCCATTTCTGAAGAACCTAGTTACTGGCGACAAAAAGTGGATAGTTTATAAGAATGTTACTCGCAAGAGATCATGGGTAAAGCAAGATCAACCAGCCCAAACAGTATCAAAAGCAGAGAACCACCAAAGTAAAGATTATGCTGTCAGTCTGGTGGGATCACAAAGGAATTTTGTATTTTGAACTCATGCCGCAGAACCAAACGATAAATTCAAATGTGTATGTTGAAGAACTCGAAAAACTGAAGGATGCAATTGAAGATAAGCGGCCGGCATTATCAAATCGGCGGAAGGGTGTTGTTTTCCATCATGATAACGCAAGGCCCCACACATCTTTGGTTACTCGGCAAAAATTATTGGAACTGGTTGGGATGTTTTGTCACACCCACCATATAGCCCTGACCTTGCGCCTTCCGATTACCATTTGTTTCGTTCCATGCAAAACTCTTTAAATGGTAAAATTTGTAACAACGCGGATGATGTCGGATCACACCTAATTCAGTTTTTTAATAGCAAAGACCAGACATTTTACGAACGGGGAATTTTTGCTCTGCCAGAACGATGAAAAAAGGTCATCGACAAGAACGGCCAATATCTAATTGAATAAAGTTATATTTTTAAACAAAAATTCCGAATTTGCCTTCTTATTTGAAATCGGCAATGACTTAGTTGCCAACCGAATAGTATCTTATTCATACTCTTGACTTCAGAAAGATACATTTCAAGCAACCATTTGTTTGAATCAACTTAACAGCAAGTTATAAATAACAGGGACACAATATCATCTGGGAAACTAAGGTTCTGTTAAGTTGCTCACAGAACGGTACTCCTTTCCCACTGCCTTAAAGATATTAATAAATTAGAAACCATTGCTTCTTCTGGTCCCCTTTTTTTAGATATTCCACTTAGCTAATCTCTAAACTTTGATTGAAGCTTGATAATAATGATAATATAAGTAAGTAGTTTTTATTACTTCTCCGTTAATCTTTATTGGAGTAAAAATCACGTAAAGTGGTTTGGGGGTGGGGAGAATTTCTGGCTCCAAAATACATTTTTAATTAACAAAATTAATTCGGTTATATCATCTTGAAATGTGCAACAAATGATTGGCTGTTTAGGTAACCAATAGTTGCAGCGACCTGCACATCCAGGTGTGAAAGGGAGGGGGGGGGGGTCCAACTAAATCAATAATCCAATTCACAGGAGGTGGAGCCTTCGAGTTCAACGAAAAAAATTCGATTAGACCACTTAGCAAATAGTACTTTTATTCTAAAGTATGTGAGTCAGGTAATTGATTAAGGAAGTTAGTCACTTTAATGTTATAATTGAAAGGGAAGAAACGTAGTTTCCTCGGTTTAAAATTCAAACAATTTGAGGTATTCTTCATGTCACTTCGGATTGGCTTGAATTTCTGACTTCCATCCTAAGTAGACTCCAGAGTTTGTAAAATTCCACTTAAACTTACGAACTAAGCTTTATAAGTTTAGCGAAAAATTATCTCCACCAATAATCCGAAAAAGTCTTTATTTCAGTGTTTTCTTAACAGTTGCGGTATTGGCCACTTGCAGATGATAAGCCATAAACTCTCCAAACGCCCAGTAGTGGACGTTTCCAGTTAAAAAACCGCATCAGTGAAGTGAAGTACTAGAAAATCATTTTCCATTAAGTGCTCTCTGTTAGAAGTCAGAAACAAAACGAAGATGCCTATTACAACTCATTAAGAGGTCAACTACGAATGGCCAGAAGATCCGTATGATGTTGTGTAAGTAGCATAGCAGATATTTATTTATTTAAAATGGCAGGCATTTTGATAATTATCATTAGTCCTTTAGTTGACTTCGGGTTTCACAGAAGGGAGGAACATTAAAGTGGGAAAAATTCGACAGGGGGAAAGAAGAGCGATTCACAGATGTAAAGGACAGACAGACAAACACAAAGGCAGAGAAAAGGCTAAATGAGTACTGTGGAAGAGGTCGAATATGACATACAGTCATACTTGTCATGCATCCATCTTTCGTAACTACACGAATTTTCATTTTTACCCACCAACGTGATTTACCTTCCTAACGCCGGGGTGCGTGATAGACTTACCTCCACGTGGTGCAGCCTGGGCAACGTATACTCATACGGCAAAAAAGTCTATTAACTGGCGGTCGACTTCTCACTTCAAACTACCATCACCTCACTGTATGTCGTATTGGATCACTTCCCTAGTAATCATCTCTACATTTGTGTCTATCTGTCTCTTTCACAACTGTGAATCACTATTCTATTCCCTGCCTCCTCTCTACTTTCTGCGACTTTGATGCCCCTTCTCTCTATGAACATAGAAGTTAACTAAAGAACTAATGATAATTACCATAAAGCCTACCATTTGCAATAAATAAATATTCATATCTTCATACGATTAAGGAATGACAGTTGGTATAATTGGCAAATCGCATTGTGAGTAGATGGCATACCCTCATTATCGGCAGAATCAGTAAGTCCTTCTTGACCAAAATTGTAATTGACAGTGGCAAAAGTAGTGAGAAGTAGTAGTCTAATGCTAGAATTTAAATTTGTGCCCAAATACATCAGTTTTTAAAGACACTACGCATCGCATCACCACTTAGTTTGAAGTAAAATTTAAATTTGTTAGTGAAATATGCATTCATGCAGTGCAATGTTATATATATATACCTGTCAAAGATGCTGGCAACTGTGCTCCCACTTCCACGAATTAAGGTAAACGGATCTGTGACTCAAATAAAGTAAGTACAAATTTTTCATTTTAATTTGGCCCATTTTGAATTGTAATTAGGATGGGTATTACTAATTTATGAAAAATGGCAGGCTTCTTGATGATTATCACTAGACGCCCTTTAGTTGACTTCAGGCTTCACTGAGAGGGGAAGGAACAACAAAGTGGAAATTATCGAGAGGAGGAGGGGAGGGGTGGGGGGTGAACAGCAAAGTGGGGCACGAATGTAAAAGGGCCAGACACAAAGGTAGAGAAAAGGTTAAGGTGAGTACTGTGGAAGTAGTTAGAAGTGGGAAGTCAACTGCCTGTTAATAGACTTTTTCGCCGTATGGGAGTATACGTTGCCTAGGGTGTTCCACGTGGAGAGGTAAGTGTATTTGAGCGTGAAATGCGAGCTAGGCTAAAATCGACTTGATGCATACCTTTACCCTATTTACCATCTAATATAGTATCAAGCACATAGGGAAAAAGCCACTAAAAGAAATGAGTCCAACTAGTTGCAGTCAAGTGCAACTAGAGCCCAGTAGAGTACTCGAGCAAAAAGTGCACCCAAAAATAGTCTGGCAAGAGAGTAGCGACATCGTGTGCGGAGAGTTTAAAATGTAAAAAGACACTCTGGAAGTGAGTAAAAGCAATGCTACAACTGCACAACTATTTCACGCTGTTTGGCAGCCTTCCGGAAAGTTCTAGTCAACTTTGGTGGCATTGAGTCCACCACGTCCCCTCCCACCCCCAACACCCCCCCCCTACCCACACCTTGACATAAGCGAGGCAACTCACTTTAAAAAATCCCTATTTTAAAGTTCCCCAATCCTCGGTAAATATGAGGCAGAAGGCATTTATATACTTGAACTACATGTTCACCGCGTTGCCAGTTTAACCTTCGAAGATTAATGAAAAAAAAACGAAAAATAAAATTGAGTGTTAAGATTTCACTAATGTTAACTAAAAGGAGAAATGTTATCTTGCAAAGGAAAACTCATTTGTATTAATTTAATAAGCTGGCTAGGTGAGTCTCTCAAATGAAGATATTTCTGACCGTAAAAGGTCAGGTATCAAGAGCAAAATATTCAGGAAATAAAATGTGGGGTGGGGATTGAAGAAAATCAAGTGCAATTGACATTTTTCATTCATGAATAAGACAATTTGAATGAGTGGCAATGTATCAGTCAGCTTCTTTCAAGGCCACAAATTGGATTGAATTAAGATTCAAGACTCTTAAAAGGCCTTATTCAATGAACAAAATTCATTTATATCAAATGGTAGGCGTTTTGATAGTTATCGTCAGCCATTTAGTTGACTTCAGGCTTTACAGAGAGGAAGGAACATCAATGTGAAAAAAGTCGAGAGGTGGGGGGTAGGTGGAACAGAAGAGAGTTTCAAATATGTAAAAGAGACAGGCACGAAGTTGGAAAAAAGGTGAGGTGAGTACTGTGCAAGTAGTCGAATATGACAAAGAGTTTGGTCATGGTAGTTTGAAGTGAAAAGTCAACTGCCAGTTAATAGACGTTGCCCAGCGTAAACCACGTGAGGGGAAATCTATCACACACACCCCTCAATGAACAAAATAGGAATTGTTGCGCTGAAAGATTCAACTTAATCAATCTATAAACAGACAAAAGTACTTTTTAATAGGCTGTAAACCAGTGGAGCGTATTTCATTGTAATTGTACTTTTTAAATTGTGCGTGTGTGCGCTTTCACAGCAACTAGCAACTCCCGTATATAAATAGGACTGGATTGATTGTGACAATACGGTGTGACTATGGCAGACCCTTGTCCCGGCATTCTCTACTCAATTCTATGGGCCCTCCTGATCATCTTCGTTGCTTGGCCTGTGGCGGGATTTCTAGCCGGCATCTACGTCTTCCTCCTGCCCTTTGGGGCTTGCATTACACCACTTGAGCAATTTCTGGAACAAATGCTGGAGTTCATTAAACTTCCATTAATTTGGGCTAAAAAATGTGTCAGCATGACACCGATTACTGACTGCAGTATGTAGAACTTCCTTCCATTTTCTTTTTTGTCACCAATTTATTTATTTATGTGTAAATATCTCGCCCTAACTACTTAAAAATAAAAGAAATGCTATTCACGGTCTTTGTTTTTTTTAATTCCATTTTTTTAAATAAATAGACAAGCTGGAAAATAAAGAGGAATTAGATATTATGGGAACTTTCCTAATATATTATAATGGGGTGTATGATAGACTTACCTCCACGTGGTGCACCCTGGGCAACGTATACTCATACGTGAAATAGCCTATTAACTGGCAGTTGACTTCTCACTTCAAACTACCATGACCCCACTATATGTTATATTCGACTCCTCTCACAGTACTCACCTTGCCTTTTCTCTGTCTTTGTGTCTGTCTGTCTCTTTCACAACCGAGAATCACTCTTCTGTTCTCTCTCTTGATTTTTTTTGTGAATTTGATGTTCCACCTATCTGTGAAGCCCGAAGTCAGCTAAAGGGCTAATGATAACTATCATGAAGTCTGCCATTTGACATATGCATATAATCTTTCACCTACCTATTTTTTTATTAAATTATTAAATGAACTCGAAATTTTTAATTTTGAAGTAAAATATTTGGAAAATTTTCATGGTAAATGAAGCCCTTAAAGAATTCTCGTTAACTCCAGGCTCTTCAACTCTTGCTTAATTTAAGATCTTCCTTTTGTCTGAAACGTCACCTACAGTGGGTGATACCGTTTGGAGAAGCTCAAGTTAGATAACCTAAAGCGCGTTAAAATACATCTTTGAGGCGATTAAAATCTTGGGTTTGACAGTTAAGAGATTTCGTTGATTTAGCGTTGATCTGAAAATAAAAATCAATACCATTCGTTAGAACTTTTAAAAAACTGTTAAAGCCAATCGTCTTTTGTGGAAAGTTAGGTTGGTGTAATGATTACAATAATGGCATACCCACGATTCATTCACCCGGTGGCAGTTCGAAGATTATGTGATTTTTTCAACTACAATTTGATTTGGTACTTATTTACTTTCCAATAGATTAAACTAGATGAACTTTCCCACCCTTCTGCCATAATAAGCTAATAAGTTTGGCTAAGAAATTTGAAGGAATTTAATTGTGTGAGATGAGAATGCAAGATTTTATTTTAAAATTTACAATTTACGTTGCGGAGCACGGATATTAATCGGATAGATTACTCTGAAATTCCACTTCTTTATTACTCTCGACACTCTTAAGGCGTCTGGTTCAGAAGGGTCGAGTTTCCTTCTTTCCGAATGATGAGAAGTGCGTAATTGAAATTAGTCCACCTGCCATTTATTAGATCGAAGAGGCTTTATTACGGACAAATGCCCCGTTTATTGGGACTAAAAGTGCATTACATAATATTTGCATAATTTATTATATAGCAAAATTGATTTGCATCAACTAATCATTTATTTCTAATGGCAGGCGTTTTGATAGTTTTCATTTGCCATTTAGCTGACTTCGGGCTTCACAGTGGGAAGATTCATCAAAGTAGCAGAAAGTCGAGGGGTGGGGATCGGAAGAGCGATTCACAGATGTAAAAGAGGCAGACAGACAGACACAAAGGTAGAGAAAAAGGGAAGATGGGTACTGTGAAAGTGGTCGAATATGACAAACGATGGGGTCATGGTAGTTTCAGGTCAGAAGTCAACTGCCGGTTAATAGACTTTTTGCCGTATGAGTATGCGCACCCCACGATAGCTAAATTATCTCGAACATAAAAATATCATCGAGGACCAACGTCCATTTGTCTTTGTAGGTACTTAATGATTAGTTGAGGGGTGTGCGATGGACTTACCTCCACGTGGTACACCCTGG